CTAATACTCCCCAAATACTTATTTTGAGTATCGGGTATAAAAATATGATTCAAGATGATTCTTCCAAAATTTCTTCCCCGAAGAATGGGCCTATCTCGATTGACGGTATATTTTTTAACTTTTAAAGTAAAGTGTAACATATTTTTAACTTTTAATAATACAAGAACTGTTTGTCCCGTGCGAAATTGGGTAAAATCGAAAAGATTTTTAAGATAAATTATAAAATGTATTGTCAATATAAAAATGTGTTTTATTTTGAGTTTTCCCACGACTGTCTCGTGCGACTTTTTTTTTGTAAATTTTCTGTGAAACCCAACCCCACCCAAAACTGAACGAAATTAAATTCTTATTTTATTCTAGAATTCTTGAACCTATGTATATAAGTAGAAATTGTAAGAAATTCTTTGACGATGACTATATGTAGCTATATAACTATATGTATCTGCTGCGTTGTGATGTTAAAAAGTTGGTTAGAGACAAAAAAATTCTTTTTCGCTTTTAATTTTTGATTGCCTTTCTTCGAGTATGCGTGAAAACTTTATATTTCGAGTCGCAGCCCGAAAAGTTTTGATTACTTTTTATTTGGTTATTTTCATTCAGTTTTTTGCATTTATTTTTTGCGTATTACCGGGGACAAAGAATATAAGATATGGAATGAAATATTTAACTTAACTTAACTCAAGTACACGAAAAAGCTCGTGGATGGACCACCATGTCTGTGGCATAAGTGGACATCCTTATGACAAGGTTTGATTCCTGGAAAGAAAACGTTCGACGCGAGTACGTACATTTGCCGTTACCTGAAAAGAGTCAATCGGAAGGGGAAGCAACTTTGACGTCACTGAGCTGAGCGGTAACGCTTTTACGCTACAGTGCTTCCGCGGTAAAACGTGCAATCATCATTACCAAGGGCATATTCGTATGTGTGTGTGGTGCATAATGGAAAGTGCGTGAAAGGGGTATGTTGCACTATATAATTATAAGTAGTAAGTGGCTTGTAGGCCTATTTTTTGTTGTTTTTTTTTGTTTCTTTTTCAGTTTGATTCGTATCCTTTCAGGTATAAAATGTAAAAATTTAATGGCATAGTATATGCTGGTTTGCTTATTTAAAAATTGTTTACAAAAATTGAGTTTGCGGTTTGCGTTTGTGTTGAGACCGACACCGGGATCGAGACCGGGACCAAAACCGATGCGCCTTTCTAGTGTTCTGGTTATATGATAAACAAAATATATGTCACCAAGTGAGTATATAAATACGTCCATACAGTACCATGAGAAAGTGGATGGATGGTCGTCGACCAACAAGTAAAATGGCCAATCGCATAGAGCCGGCCATAGCAGCCATACCCTTGGCTTCGTCGAGTTCTTTGCAAGACTTTTATTTTATTTATTTATTGGTTGATTTTTTCTTCACATTACGATTCCATCGCATCTCCCCATTTGCACCCACTCTCACTCTCACCCCCACATCTCCACGGCCCCTGCGCCACTTTTCAGACAATTAAACAAGCTAGCAGAGATAAAATAAGGAAAAAAGGAAAAGAAACAAAAAGAACATATTAAAAGAATCCACAATCTGGACTTGTACTTGAAGTGCAAGCAATCTCGGCTTTTTGAAACTGCCAAATCTCCTACAATGTAATTGTAATTCTCTTGTCAAAAACGAGAACGAGAATGTAACCAAAATACCCTTCGATTCTGATGTACAGAAAAAAAGGCGACGAAAGAAAGTGAGCGCGTTTTCTTGCCCGGCCAGGACATCCTGCTCGGACGCATTTTTCTGTTGATTTTTCTGCTTTTCGGGAAAATTAAATTTTAAATTGTTTTTAGCACTGCTGAGAACTGGGCCGAGTCCGGTTTCGTAGAATGGGAGTTTAACCGCGCAATCCCACACCCCATCCCACCATTTTAGAGCAACCCAACCCAACCAACCTTCCAAAGTTTTGTCAGTGCCAGCATCGTCTTGGTCTTGGCGTTGGTTTGGGCTTGGTTCTCCCCTCAATTACATTTTATTTGCGCGGGATCTCCATCCCATCCCCTTTTTTTGCTTCCGTCTCTGTCTGTCCTGGAGCACGGCCATTCCATTGCCATCGCCATCCCATCCATCAAGGCCGACTCGGGAGCTTTGCTGTTGCTGCTGTTGTTGCCATTACGGAAGGAAGTGCGCCATGCCAACATCTATTCAAAACTGAAAGAAAAAACGAAAAATGAAAAAAAAGGAAAAAAGGGCAACTAAAACTAACGATGACTGAGTCCGGGTGGGTGGGAGTAGGGTGAACGTGAGCGGGTCGATGGGTTGGAGTTTCGGAGTGTAATGGTTGTGGGGGTAGTCTGAAAAGGGGCTGCATCCACACACAGACAACACACAGACAAAATGGCAGTGTCTCGTATACAATTCTTTCCTATTTCTTGCTATGTTATTTTTTTTTCATTTTTCATTTCATGAATTTCTTTGTTTCATCCCACCCCACGCTTGGTCGGTGAGGTTTTGTTAGAATTTCTCCGACAGTTTGCTATTCTGTGCGACCAGTGATTGATTATTTATGCTTTATAATTGATTAAATCTAGAACCATAACTTAATTCATAAAGAGTTGTTGAGATCGAATAACCAGCACAGACTTCAAGTATTCTCTAATATACGTACATGCTTTACTCAGCTTTGACACAAAAAACTAAAATAAAACGAGGGAAATCGTTGTGGGTTGCTGCGGAGACCGCAACTCTACATTTATACCCGATACTTAGTCAGTATGGCTCTCCTTCGGCAGACGCCGCGAATATTAAACGACACAACAAAGAGTGCGTGCGAGAGAGACAGAAAATCAGTCTGAGCGTGACGTCGGGCGCTGCATAGCCACTGCAAATAGATTTGTTCCTTTTAGCTATAAAAATAATCCGATCTGATCCACATTCAGCAATCTGATAGATATTACACTTTTATAAATATATCAGTGGAAATTTTAACCGCAACGTACTGAAGGAGCTTCTGCGACCTCTCAAATATGTCTATTTATTTTCGATCATCATTTATTCTTTCCATTCACCTGTCTTTCTAGGTTTCTAGGCAATCGAAGGCTTTAAAGCTTTCTGTCTTTTAATGTGCACTGCACAAAGCGAACCAACCCCTTCCTGGAGGGAACACAAATATACGATAAATATATACATACATATGTTACAGACCATATTTTTATACCCGATACTCAAAATGAGTATAGGGGTATATTAGATTTATGGTGACAGTGGAGGTGTGTAAAGTCCAGAAGGAATCGTTTCCGACCCCATAAAGTATATATGTACATATATTCTAGATCAGCATCAATAGCTGAGTCGATTGAACCATGTCTGTTTGTACGTCTGTCCGTCCGTATGAGCGCCTATAAGAGCTAGAGCAACAACATTTTGTATCCTGACTTCTGTAATATGTCACTCTTACAAGTATATATCAAAACATCGCCCCGCCCACTTCCGCCCCCACAAAGGACGAAAATCTGTGGCATTCACAATTTTAAGGATACGAGAAAGCCAAAAACGCAGAACCGTAGAAAATGACTATATCTTTTAGACTGCAGAATCTGGATCAGATCGGATCATTTTGATATCCAAAAGGAATAAATCATTTTGCAGTGCAATACGCAGCGCCCGACGACTGACTGATTTTCTGTCTTTACCTCACGCACTTTTTATCTTAGCGGCGTCTGCCGGGGGAGAGCCATACCGACTAAGTATCGGGTATAAATGTAGAGTAGCGGACGCCGCAGCAACTCACAACGATCCCCCTCGTTTGTTATGTTTTAGATCATTAAGATATATTGTTCAAATATAAAGTTTTCAGCTTTAAACATTGTCAAGTCGGGCTATAACATTTTATTTTACTATTTCTTACTAAAATAAATATTTTTTGACCCTGTGACCTTAGATTCCGACAAATTTTTTTTTCGTCCGAGTATGTACATATGTATATGTTTCGTCATATGTATATGTATACATTAATAACGTACGAGCATTTGAATCTTCGTAAAATGTGGCTCGGTGGTATGGGTACATGAGGCAAGAGAACACGTGATATGTAAATGATCTCTTCGAGGGATGGATGGAAAGTATTTGGCAAATCAGTGTCCAACCATCAACCCTTCCACAATATAGAATTTTGGCTTTCGGCTCCGTGACCTATCTGCCTGCCTAAATGATTGCTTTTTTGTCCTCAGCGGCTGTCCAACAGTCCCTCCTGATGTCCCTTTCGCTGCTCGCTGTCCGCTTTACGCATAAATTAATGAACAACAACGACCCTGCCCTGCCCTGTGTGCCGACGACGCTGATCACAGGTCCCGGTCCTGGTCCCGTTATCCACTGGAGCTGTATTTGCGCCGACCCAACACCATCTGGCTCTTGGTGAAATGTGAACGGCTCATCCATCCATCCTGAGCTGCACAATAATGGTTTGGGGCTGACCCCTTTAGGGGTTGCTGCTGATGCATCTAGTTGCCTGCGCAACTGTCTGCGCCTGCCTGACCCATGACAGATACGTATGTATACATATGTATGTGTGTATTGTAAATGTATTTTTTTTATCAAAATCTCAGTCGCTTTATTATTATTTACCGCTAGCCGTTGTCCTGCATCTGTCCTGGGTTCCGAGTAGGTAAAGCTTGCGCACCAATATAGAGGGTATGTTTGTGTGATGCGATTTTGGCAGACTTCTCATTAAAATAACAACTATAGGTTTGCCGTAGCCTAGGCAATGCTATAGTTGTTATTTTACTCCTCTTCAAAGAGATATAACATAGGTACGATGTGGAATAACCATGAATGGGGTTTATTCGAGAGATGGAGACGGGCCTTTTCTTTTCTTGTTTTTTTTTTTGCCTGCCCTGCCCCAAAAGGATGTCGCGGGAGCAGATGTGCACTTGCAGATACATAAATGCATATTTACGAGTCTGCTATACCCTCCCCCCATTCCATTCGCATCTGGGCTGTTGCTAAATTTATGTATTTCTTTTGTGTGTGCTTGTTTTCGCAATCGCTCAATGGTGGGTCAGTGGCACACCATCTGCTTCTGACCGCAAATCGTGATCGCGACTGCCCGAGGCAACGGCAACGGCCACCGATCCGATGCCGCTACTCCACTTAGTTTCCCTTTAGTTGTAAATTGTAGTTTCAGTATGCCAAGTGTTTTCTCATTATCGTGCCAAGGCTGTCAGGAAGAGCAGAGGCAGAAGAAGAGGCAGAGGTAGTCCAGTTTCCCCATAATAACATGAAAGGGAAGGGGCAGCAACACCAAACAAAAGAATGCATGTGTTTATTCTACAATATAAATGAAGTGTGTTGTGTTGAGTGTAATAACGATGCATTAAATCAGAAAAAAAGACACTGAAAACCCTACTTTAGAAAAATTAATGATTAAAATAGCTCTCGATATGTACATAAGTCATCTTGCTTGCATTATTATTATTACATTGGCGCATCACATGCACGTAAGTATGCAGTTCTATAAAGGTATCTATTTGACATTTTGCCAATTTCAAATCCAGACGTATTCGACACATACTATTAAAGGAGGTATATATACTTGTGTATATTGACACTAACAATTCTAACAGAACAGAGCAATTGTATGTGCCTTATTATATAAATAATTATATTTGCACATATTTACAATATATATACTTTCGCATGTATCGTTTTATATAAGTTAAACACGACCAGACCAGACCAGATGTATGCAGATACATAGATATATGGCTGCATAAATGCATGTATTAGTTAAGCAGGAACGACCGCGACTATGTACAATTTACGTATGTGATGTGGGTATATATATATATATATATATATATACATGGCATGTACATAATTGTAATTCTGCTAAACCGATGATTGTGGTGTGTGTGAGTTCGTGAAGTTGAGCCTAAATGAAATCAAATATTCGCAGGAAATGTACAATGGAGCGGCAGATACGAGTATGGCAGGTGGTCCAGCAGCCCAGACGAGAAACTTCCACATAATTATGACCACTCAGTCATCAGTCGCGTCATTAGTGTCTACATACATATGTATATGTACATACTTGGGCGTTTTGCCGCAAAGGTGGGTGCGGGTGAATCCGAATGGATCTTAGTAAATGCTTATAAAATTCCTATATTCTACGATGTGAATCCAGACCAGACTATCTCCAAGTATACTTAAAACGTAATATATAAAAATTAAAATTGTACCATATGAAGAAGAGAAGCGGACATACATAATTCGCCAACCGTTTCGCAAAAACGCATATGTACATATATAAGCTGTTAGAAATTAATAAATACATACATATGTATGAATATATGTACATGCTCCTCGCACGAATAAGTGAACTTTCAGAGCTACATTTTCTCATTGTTCATTTAGCAATTATTTATTCCCTATAAATTGTATTTGCAATTGACGCAACGCGGCCGTGAGGGTAATATGAAGAGCGGTTTGGAACGGAATGTACGAGTAGTGATGTAGGGTGAAAGTGCGTCGCTGCTTTTCTCTCATCCAGCTTTATTCTGAAATAAATGCACATACGATACGATACGTAGTGCACATGTGTACATGATATTATTCGATAAGATATTCGCTGCTTCTGGCTTCTTTTAAAAAATGTATAGTACGTATTTCGACTGGAAGTTGCACGCAATCCGCCTACGAGCTATTTTTAGTTGAACATTTTATTAGAAAGAATGACTGGATTAAAATTGCAAGGCTATGGATTTAATGTACATAAGAAATTATTTATGTACCCTTACAGTTCAACGACCAGTAAAGTTAAAGTTAATTTATTCAACTTTATCATTCTTTAAAGCTTTTGGGTTCATGGGGACTTTCTAGGAAATTAAATGAGTTTGGAATAATAATTAATTCGAAAATACAGATCTTCTCACACATCTTAATTTAAGATTTTAAAATATTTTTTCTCCAATCCACACATGACCGATCAGCAATTATTCTTACACTATAAAATATTGTATATCAAATTTTTCTTATGTATGAAATACTGTTGCAAAGTAAAGTGTGTCGCTTCTGTATAAAAAGGCTTCGAATCAAAAACAACCTGGGCGACTGTCGGCTCAAACTGATTTGCGATACTCTCACATTCCTCTAACCATATTCTGCCCAGGAGCTGCTTTTGAATTACATACTCATACTCGAACTGAAACTCCTACTCGTTCTTGCACTCGTACTTTTGGGGCGCATAGATCTGCTAATGTACTTAGTGGTATGTACTTAAATACAAATTTACATATACATATGTATGCAGGTTCACGTAAATAATTCTGGATTTCCATTCTAAGGGGGCAGCGCCTATTCGAATTAATATAAATTAATAAATGCACATTTTATGCAGATGTGGATGTGGATTTTTTATGTTGATGCCCCTTTCTTCATTTCACAGTGCATACATACATACATATATAGAAATATTGATTATATAGCGTACGTAAGCTCCAGCATCGACTAAAGCATTGCCATAACACCCATGATTAATTTTTTTGTATGGCCAACTGTTTATATAGCACATAAGAAAATGTATTTCTTTGGTTAGGCTCCGCCTGCATGCTCTTCTTTGCATTTGAAACGCGACCTTGATAGCATAAGTTACTTTGAAAGAGTTAAGACATTAGTTCTGCTGTTCTGTTCGTAACATAGCTTAGGTCCATACGTTTAAGGAAAATCGATATAGTTCGACATGTTCTGGACACTCCATGGACGAAAATCAATGAAATGGCAGCAGTGGCAGCGTTGAACTCCATTATGTCTCTCGTGTGTGTGTCTATTTTGTGTACATACTTAGTATATCTATATGCACATGCTTATGTACATGCATCTAAGGGTTCGGATATGCTTATCGGATGTACATACATATAAATATATAGCAGAATGCATACATAAATGCATAAACATTTATGTGCATGCTACAGCGCCATGACGACGACCGGAAATGCATCCAGAGCGTATACACACACGCACACACACGCAAAAAGTGCAACACATAAACATGAGCCAGACAGAAAGAGTCAACAAAAGTGTGAGTCTGTGTGCGAGAGCGTGTGTGTGTGTGTGTGTGTGTGTGTGTGAGGGAGAGCGAGAGAGAGGCCTTGAAGTAGACATTAAATCGTGCACAAATTTGCATGCCATCGACCAGGACCAGAACCTGGACCTGACTGTGGGTGCAACATAGCAGAACAGAAGGCACTGCTGCAAAGGGGTGGGGCTCAGGAGGGTGGGCAGCGCGGGTCTACGTGGTGGTTGTTGCATTGGTCATTCCTGTTGCCGTCATATAAGGGATGTTACTGCAGAAAGTGCAGCGGGAGAGCTGAATGCAACCAAAAATTGCACTTGAGCCGCACTTTACCCGAGTGTGGGCGTGGGCGGTATAGGGGATGATGCAACGAAAATGCATGCGAAACGTGGTACGGGGCAGACGAATTGCGTACTATACATACAAGCACACACATGAGCCAACATGGCAAAGCAGGAGAAGTCTGTGCCTCGACAGCGACACCGACTGCGACGACGACTGCAGCTGGCATTGCAACTTGCAACTGCAACTGCATTTTGACGAGAGCGCCGGCGCTGGCATAGCATTCGCGATGGGTCCCAGGTCCAGTGAAAGGATCTGTATCCACATCCGCCGTTGCTGCTCCTGCTGCTGCTGCAGTCGCTTTTTGTTTATCGTACACAATTTTTATCTCATAATAAGCAAACCGCTGCTCCCCCCTGCCCTCTCCTAACCATCAATGCATCGTCGACGTTGCGCTGGGGCTGCGGCGATGATGGCAGATTTTTATTCTCAATTATTTTGGACGACGGCGCATTCACAAACGCAATATTCCATGGAGTAGAACAGCCGACTGCGGATCGTCCAGACCTCGCGGAGCATTTTTATTTCTCAAATGTGCATAACTTAGCTTTTAAACTTATATAAATACAATATGTGGATTGTGAAAAAAAAACTCGTATTAGAATAAAAAGAGTCGACCAACCATTTAAGTTCAAATTAATTGAATTTGTCGGGAATCGTTTATAAACCCTACCCTGATTTTCTTATCATATAAATGTTGACCTTTTTTCCATTTGATTTCAGATCATCATAATTTTAACAAAAACAATAGACCAAATACGTTTTTAAAACTAATACCTATAGCCACCATAGAAGTCAACGCTAACTTAACTCAAACCACCATTCAGTTTTAAAAGCAATAGAACGGATGCAGTTATACTCTTCTGATTTTTTTAGCAATACTCATTACAACAAAAGGGATTAACAACAACATCAACTCTAGACCTGATCAATTAAAACAACAACAACAAAAAAGCAAGCATATAATACTTCAAACTTAAACTTCAACTCAAACATTCAAAAAACAATAAATAAACAAGAACCAGAATCAGATCGAACCGTTTAAAATCTAACAAAAATTTGAACATTCGGCAATCAAAACAACAGAAAAAAACAAAAAAAAAGAATAATTAACAACCAAAAAGTTGCGAAATTGAAATCAAAAGTACAAAACTATATAATGAAGGATGAATAGAGTTTAAAAAAAATTAAAAAATAAAATAAAAAAAAAAATACACGTGAAAAGGAATCTTGAAGAATCATAAATTGAACTCTTTTCCAGCCTCACCTCACCAAGGATAACAGATTAAGAGATTTTTGAACAGGAGATGGGATGGGATGATAAGAGACTAGACTATTTACCAGGCCTAGTAAATAGATATAGAGAATTCGACTTGACTTGTAGATAAATCTTTAAAGTTGTATTATTACCAGGTATTGTAGAAGTAACTAACTATAGACTTGAAGTATATAGGGCTTGAACACATACCCTGAAAGAACCTATTAGACGGTACACTATCCAAAGCAACAAAATACGTTTTTTGAATGCCTACTCAAGACACACTGACACCGGAACAGACAGTTTGCAATATCACTTACCCTATAGCTAGCGTTTTCCACAAAAGCTAGACACAACCAACAACCATACCCACATAGACACCCACATATGTACATGTGTCCTCACTTTCTGTAAATAGAATTTGAATTTGAAAGAAAACCCATTAACATAAACCTTAGTATAAAACAAGATTACAGAAAAGTTTTTATAATATCTGGAGAGAGATTGATACATAAACTAATAATGAATGATGATTATACATACATAACGCAGTAGGAATCAACACTCACTAATCGATAGGAACTAAAACACAGACACGCCAACTACTTTCAGCACATAACCATAACATAACCCTTAAGTAACCCTTACCATATGTGTAGTATTAGTTACTTTCGTAAATCGAAGAAGACATCATTTATGGTACATAGTATATTACGAGTATAACATAACCCATTAATCGGCTGAATCGAATTGTTAGCTCTGTTTTAATTTAAAAAATATTCAGAGTGAACTTGAGGGCGGCGAGGGCAAGCTAGACAAGCCTAGAGTTTTGTATTATACTTAATTATATTTTTTATACCAACATATGCCTGAGGAGAGGAGAAAAGAAATATATATTTAAAAATTTGGGTGATATTTTTGGGCATACGAACAAAAAATAAGCAAAGTTATCGGGCAAGGCAACAAATTGTGATGTAAAATTTACGAAAAATCTAAAAAAACCAAAACTATCCAAGTCTAAACTAAATTGGAGCGAGCAATCAACGAGTTTGAACAAAAAACGGTCACTAGTAAACTACCATTACGAAGTTACGATATCGCGAAACCGCAACGTGTGCCTTATTCCGGCCTTATGTTCAAATAACTTTCAATAATGCATAACTAAATAAACCACATACATATACGGAAAAAAAAACTAAATTTAAGAATCAAGCGAAAATAGCTACACCAAGGGATACTATTTGAGTATCATCCGAATTATAGTCTCATTATATCTAATGGCTGGCGCTATAGCCATTTTGAAAAGGAACTGTAATGCATCAGGAATGTGAGTAGAACATGTAAGTTTTTGAATGAAAATCCAATATATGTATTTAGTAATTAAGAGCTAACAGTACTCGCCTTAAATGCTCGTAACGACTAGATTTGCTCTGTTCTTTTGGAGAAATTGTTTGAGAAGTATAAGTCAATGGTTTTCCCGGCTGATATCTTTGTAAGTCACATCGATCTATCTTTTGCAATGCAAGCCCTGATGGAGCCAAATACCAAGCACCCACGGCTTTGCTGCTTCCTTGCTGGCAGACTGACTTGCTTGTCTGCCCAACTAAGAGCAAGTTAAGAGAGCCTGGATGCCTGAAAACTTCTAAGCGCAGATGTGATGTTGGTGTTAGTGGACACGAAGACGAGGCGAAGATATTTTGCCGAAGATGTTAACGTTGAGGTCAAAAACGAAGACGTTTGGCTTACTTTGCATCGCCAACGAACTCTACTTCAGGCCGGGCCGACTCACGCTTTTGTGTACAAGTACAAGTTCTATTTCTAAGCGAGATGTGTCTGAACTGAACCCCAAGCAACAGCATATTTATACTTCGCCGAGGCGGCGACAAAATTAGTTTTTCAATGACTCGCGTGCCGCCAGGTTATCGGTAGTGTAGTTAACTGGGAACAACTTTATAGACGTGTCGGTGTCCGTTTCGTTTCTAATGACCGTAACCGTGGCCGTGCATACAAAAGTATACGAGTATATGTACATATGTATATTGGCTTTTAGATTGAAAAATAGCCGGTCCGTTCCCAGTTGCTGGAGTATGAGTATGTAATGGATCATCAAAGTTTAACAGTTGATTCTATTAAATCCAAGTGAAGTGCTCTTTTACCACAACATGATCAAATAATAAAAAAAGACGAAATATTTGCTTTCAAATAGAGTTTCAAAAAAGGCGATCTTCCTTTTTCACCAAGTGCCTCAAAGTGGGACTACTATATTCATATGTATATGTATAACACGCTTTTCAGCTGAAGCTACGAGTACATATGTACATAACATTCGATTATGTATTAGTTATAGCTCCACCAATTATTGCTTCTTCTTTTACCAATTTTGTAGCCTATGACACGTAAATGAGACTAGACAAACCGACAAACAGATGAGCTGTATGGATGAGCAGATGAGCTGGATAATAAATTCACTAAAAAACTAACCAAATTGAAAAGTTCTATCGTACATATTCGAAAATACGGGAATAAATTCAAATTGCGAGACCAAAATAAAGTGTTAACTTTTTGTTCTTTATTTTTGTACGAATTCAAAAATGTTTTGATGCATATACATATGTACATATGTACATATTTGTATGTCCGATTCTCGTACATATGCAAAGTTCCTTGGACGTCATAAAAGAAAAATTGGTTATGTATACTTTTGTAATGTCCCATCTAATGCCCATTACCCGACATCTTCTTTTGGTATGTACTATCTACCGTCGCAATACTGTTTTGTTTTGCAAACAGGACTTCAAAGCAAATTCGCTCTATCAGGGATACTTCAATACGAATCCCAGCTTTGGTACGCCTGTTGAATTCAAAAACCCGTTCAGAAGATTTAGTATAACAATAATATTTCAGAGCTCTTATTCACAAAATTGTCATATTTTTTTAATTTATATAAATTAGAATGAATAATGTGCATTTTTGGATATGAAGCAATGGCAGACTGTTGAAATAGGCTTAAAACTTCACTTCTTTCTCACTTTATACCTATTATTCGGGACTTAGTGTAAAAGTGGAATAAATTTTATATGACGCAAAATTAAGCTCCATAGCGTTGCATTGCCTTAATCTTAGTTTCTATTGCCTGTCCTTTGCTTTTATTTTGAGTTTACTTTAATACGTTCGATTCAAAATAAGCCTACATACTTGTTTATAAATATTGCATAGTTTCGGATACATGTATTTGATTTTCTTTATAGGCAGTGATATTATATGAAATCGAGATGCTGTGGGCAACCGCAAACGAATCGCACTGGACTGACCAGTTCTAATCTTGGGAGTCCCAATCAAAGATCGGTCGGCAAAAAGATATTGATACAGAAAACAAGTATACAAATCTCCTGACCACCATCATCCTGATGTTCAAAATGGACGCCGCAGACTTCTGGCAGCAGGCCCGCGCACCATTCGGACTTCACTCGGCGCTTCATCAACACACTCCTCCGAACCAACAACAGCAGCAGCACCACCACCATCAGCATCAACATCATCATCAACAGCACCACCAGTCCCACCATCCAACAATATCGCAACAGCATGATCACCAGTTAACCCCCAGTGCCAATTCAGATGGCACGGCTGCCAGCAACAACAGCAATAGCAACAACCCGTCACTAAACACTAAAATCGAATCTAGCGGGCCTCAGCAACATCACCACCTTCTGCAACACCAGCACCATGAGCAGCCCTTTGGCCCCGATTCCTTCAGGGGTCAGCTCTCGGCGCCAGCCCCGCAGCTAAGTAATCATCACCTGCTGTTCAACGCCGCGGCTGCCGCTGCCGCCGCAGCTCACCTCAAGTCTACAGCCCTACAGAATAATATTTCGCCCCCGTCAGATCAGTCCAATATGCTCCGAAACTATGGCCATAATCCGTTAAATCCCGTCATCAAGCCTAAACAAGAGCTTGACCAACAGCCGCCGCGTCTTGATGAAAACCGCCAACAGCAAACGGAGCAGGCATACACTGGTGACTTTTACGACGCGGGTGACGCCCCAGGCTCCGGCACGGATGCCTCTGCAAGTGTTACCTGTACTAGTAGCGTCGGCGCTGATCAATTGCAATCCAATCAACAAACACAACAGCAGACTTCAGGAGGTCTTCAGCAACCGCAGCCACAACCCCACCGGCAGACACAGAGTCCAGGGCCTGGAACGGTAATGCTCAACAAACCGTTATCACAAGGTCAGCAGTCGCCGCAGCACTCAATAACGCCATCTGGTGGCAGCTCTACTCCTGAAATTAAATTCAACAACGACAAGATGGCCAACGAGATACAGGTAATACCTATAAAAATAATATTTGCATTTAAAATAAAGATCAAGAGCGTAGAGGCGCATAGCTTTTGCGATGTACATCCCATTTAGGAAAGTCAGTAATCCCGCCTAACCTTTTTCCGCATAGATCTGTCCTATTTTAAGCAGCTTCAGCAGAAAAATATATAAAACATCGCCTATCCGGAATTGTATCCTATTTTAGAATTGATTTAATATTTTTCAAATTTCAACACTGTCGAATCGGATTTAATAATTTAATATTGGACTTCACCCACAAAATTTTTAAGTTCCCAGGGTCGAATGATGAAGTTGAGCCTGCTTTTAGCCAAGTCAGTTCGGATTACGTATGTAAGGTGCATGCTGCAATACTGTACGTAGCGTTATATATAATATATATATACATGTCATATGAAAAGAAAGAAAGATACTGAGGATGACTAAATATGAGCTATGTATGTCCTGTCTTGAAGAGTAGCACTTCTACTGATGTACGTACAAATGTACCATGAGTGGAGTGTGTATGAGTATATGTATGTATATACCTACTACGTGGACCAGTAGATTTCCTTATTGATGTCCTTGAAAGTTATTTTTCTTTTTTACTCTTACTTGAAAGTTTCAAAGTGAACGGCTTTGACCACCGATATATTGACGCATTCGTAGGGATGCGATGTGCGTTTTTGTATTGCACGACTACGAGCACGTACGAGTACTTTCCAGTGTCCAAAGAGCTCCTGATCCGAGCGTTCTCTTTTTCAAGGTCTAAGGTCTAACCTGACGTTCGAAACATTAAGAGAAACTCTCAAAATATCCCAACAGCAAACAATGGTTAGATATTATATTACCTTCTTACCCCTTTTTGGGAGGGAAATTAAAAAGCTCTCCTCTCTCGGTTGAACCCTGAACCGAAGGGGAAAATGTTCGTGGCGTTCTTGGCGTTTAAATGATATTAACAGCCCGTTTCTTGCACCGCTTGAGACTTGTTCCATTTCTGGGCATCTGTACAAGTAGACCAGACCAGACCAAACCCCTCTCTATGTAATATTTCGACTAGTCTGGGTAAAGGGGATGGAAATTGGAAAAGGGGTTGAGCAGGGAAGGGAAGGAGTGATATAGTAGGAACGAGAGCAAAAGAGAGAGATAGATAGTGAGAAAAAGAGCAAAAGAAAAAGGGAAAGGGAGAGAGAGCGAGAATATGTATATTCTTATCGTTTGCTTAGTTTTTTGCGCTGTGCTTTTTCTTGAAGTAACCCCATTCGTGAGTGTTCGTTTGCGTTCTATGAACATTCGCAATTTCTCCTCCTTTATCTGCGTGAGTGTGTGTGTGAATCCCTAACTGCTTTCAGTTATAACTTATGATGAGGGGTTGGAATGGGAATGGGGCGCAGTTTAGTATTATACTACACACACACACTGCCCGTTTCGTTGTTCCTACGCCAGACGCTTCGTTTTTTTTTCGTTGGCTTTTCTTGCCTTGTCTTTTCCCCATTCTATGCGTTCAGAAAGAGAGAGCGACAGAGTTTATTCTCATTCTTGGGGAGCTTTTTTTGGGTCCGGTCTGTCTTTTTTTCATTATAACTTTACTCGCGCAGCGCATATTTTCTTCAAGAAAACAATAATAGCGTAGAGCACTAGTTGTATAGGAACAGAGAAAGAGACGCAGAATTAGGAGCTGACGTCGACGACAGCGTCGACGGCGCGATACTATAAGAAGAAGACACTGGTATGGGCACAGTGTCCCGTTTGTGGATGATAAGCGCAGCGTCTCTACACCGCCAAGGACTACACTACCGACTACCGGCAGAAGTTCAAAGGACATCGGACCGTAAGGTTGTGTGACTCCGCGTTTCTAACTTCAATAAATCCGTTCGCCAAAGTTGTTGTGGTCGCGATAAACTGTAAATTTGATTGACAACAACGCTATGAACTACAAAATAAAAATACCGACCCCGAAAAATTAAAACAATAAAGTGGCGACAAGTACAACAGAAGTTCTGACTTGACTTTAATAGTCTTTCAGTGCATTGATTCATATGCATATGAGTGAATATTGTTGTGCTGGATGGATTTGCCTTCGGATGTTTAATTCATAGCACCAATCTTATCCAGTCCAGTGCAGTCTACGTCTACCTAACCTTACCAGATTCCATTGTGTAGATAACCAAGCCAGTTAAGCCAAACCCACACCAATCCGACAACTAACATAGAAAAACGTGCGCGATTCAAAAATCAAACAAAAACCAACAAAATTAAGAATTAACAGAGAGCTGTGTTGTATTCGTTCCGTTTTGTTTCGTTTTACGATCGGCTGTCTAGATCGGTCTGATAGTTTACACAATGACACTTGACTATGAAGAGGAGCACGATGTAATTTTTAATTTTCAATTGAAACCTAACTTTTCAAAATTGTACATAAAACCTACACGATTTCTTTTCGTTGGCGATTGGAAGTTTTATTTATTTAGCTTTTAAAGCTTTATATTATTTAGTTTAAGCTACCTTTCATAGACAATAGGTTTTTTAATTTTACTTAATTTTACAAATTTAATTAGAAATGCCATTCTCAAATGCTCAGCTTGCCAATTCGGAGAAAGATATGTTTATTTAAATATATATATATTATATATAAATATATATTGTTTATCCCATTATTGGCATGCAGATACATATGTACATATGTATGTGTATAAATAAATCCGAGTCCGAGTCTCATACTTTTGAAAACGTATTTTATTTATTTTTTGTCCTTTATCAAATTAAAACGAAAAGATAAACATTTCCTTACATGAACATATGTGTGTACTTATTTATGTACATAAACCAATATACATATGTACATACTATTTACATTTATTTATAGTTTTTTTTAACTTTTTATACCGTTGCAGCTTCAGCTATCCCGGTCGAGTAGCGCAGCCGCGATCAGTGAACGCACCCTTGAAGAATGTTGGTCAACCCTGCAACGAGTGAGTTGGCATCTGTTCCGTTGTGTATAGTACTCTTCCTCGTCAAAGACACGAACACACAGCAATTGTACCACCACAACACCAACAAAACACTTTTCAGATTAGAACACATTCTGGCACATACACACACACATTAACATTAGCAAAACTTAGCTCGAAGTAAGAATCGCTGATCTGGACCATTTAGAAGAAGTACTCGTACTAGTACCGTTTTTCTAATTCTGATATGCTTCAATAATGAACAATGAACATATTAATGTAATGTAATCTTACATTAACGTGAGAGATATATTCCTAAGTTTTTTATGATTATTAGTTTATATTCTAGCCTAAGTTTTACCCGTCTCTATAAAAACTGGCCACAAAACAGTAGCCGCTTATACTTAAATTTGTAGCAATAAACTTTTTATTTCTTGACAATATTGCAATGTTTTACTTTATTTTACATCCAATTGGTTTCATTTTAATTTCTTATTGTACTTTGATGATATAGGCGCCGCTCACATTGTCCCATCGTTTGTTGACTGATTTATTGGATTACTAACCTTACTGAAGTGAACAGTAATTCTGTTGCTGTATGAGCTCTGTAGATATTCACTTAGGATGGTTGGCGATCATTTCTATTTTTCGGATAAGTCACTTGTCAAGGAAACTTAGCGTCCCAACTCAAATATTCCCATTTTAATCGAATACAAAATCAAAGAAAAGAATTTAATTTTTTATTTCTATATTATATTTCCCCTTGCTTATAAAGAGTAATGTTAAAAAAAATAGAGAGGAAAAAAGGGCTGTAGATTGGTACATTACATATTGTATAAACATATTTATGTACATACATATTTATATGTTGTGTACGTATTTATGTTCATATCCAAATCAATAGATGATGAACTCTACATCTTCTTGTTCGGCGAAAATAATTTGAATAAATGTGAATGAAAAATTGTATTTCACAAAATAGTAAAAAGAACTAAGAAATGTAGCTACATAAATAGTTTTAGAACAATTTTTGTACTGAACTTGTTAGAGGTTTATGAAAGAAAAGTTTCTAGAGGAATATTTTTCCGTTCGAAGACGCATATGGCTTTAGCAAGAATCTCCTGAATACAAATTTACCACATGTTACATTATTTACGTGACCTTGAGATACTGTGATATTTCAAAGCTGTGAATGGAAAATCGGTACATTTTCAAGGGTGTCAGTTAGCTATTTATATGAATAAATGCATGTTACCCATCTACATATATAGTTAAGGCAAAAGGCCTTCATTTTGTAACGTCCCCAAATACCGAATCAATTTATTTTATTATAGAACTGCTACGCATATGTACATACTGCCCCGACACAACACCGATATAATCACCCCACACATTTTTTGCAACCATTTTATTCCATACACCTTAGGCCACAGGCCTCACAGTGGTTACCGCCTCCTGCTACCCCTAAGCTATAGGGAATGATGGTATAGGCTTGTAAATGCATGCATACTACCCCTGATAGTAGGTCCATCCCTTTAGATTGGGGTCGAAGACTTGAATTTATAAAAAAATGTGGACATTAAAAACGAATTCGAAATTCGGAAAGGACTTCACATTTAAGGAATGAAAGTAGATAATTGTTTTTAAAAGTATAAACTTAGCCTTACCAGACGTATCCACTTACATATGTACAAGCATACATATTTACATACTAGTATACTAGTACACTCGACTCATTCTCTTTGTCGGGAGAGAGAAAAAAACCTTCCAGCAAGCTCTTATACTCGCAGTCAGTTAAGTTATTGAAAGATTTTTTGTTAGTTTTTTTAACTTTCACAGCCTGAGTATGTCTGTACATACATATGTACTTGCTCCATCACCTCGAATACAGGTTCGTTTTCGTGAGAATTTTTTGTGTATATTCACATAAATTGTGTGTATGTACATACATATATACACAATCTATTCGCTATTTTCCTTTATTCTCATCTTCTGGCTCGCGTCCATCTCATACTCATACTATTCCACGCGCACACAGAGGCCGAGGACCCACACAGAAACGCCCCGCCATGCCGTGCTGGACCTGTTCTTCTATCGCACTCGCCGTTTATTATCGCAAGCAATCTCATTTGCCGGCGATTCGCAAACTGCTGTTGGCTGGTTCTGGACACAGCAGAGTCCTGTAGAGTTCGTTCGCCATTTTTATGCGATTCAAAGACGAACGAAGCGAAGGGGCAAAGACGCCTGTAGTTGTGTCCGCCTCTATCTGTTCCTGTGCATGTACGACTACTCACCAGAGCCAAATGAATAAAAAGTGCAGTCTGTCTCGGCCAAAAACGAGTGGTTGTGGCGAAACGACGGAGGTTGTTACCGCCGTTACCAGTGAAAACAAAACATCGGCCACTTGGCCAACCAACCAGAGAACGCCGTATGAAAGCAGCCTCGCCTCGTCCTCGCTCTTGCACTTCTCCTACTTACCTTACCTCTCTGGAGAACAAGGGCCGCTATCGGTATCGGACTCAGTATCGTTCTCCGCTTGGTCTTGAAAAGGGGGGAAGGGGAAGCCAACACAATAGTCTGTGCTCTATATGTACGAATATTAGTCCCAGCTACCATTATCCTGATCGATTACTAATGATCTAATGTATGTGTGTTCATAATTTTTGTATACTTTTTTTTGGGCACTTGCAGTTTTATTATAGCTTTGCAGATATGGTTCTGGCCAGAGGCGGAGGCAGCATAGCACAAATAACCCGAGACGTCTGTTTCCATTCAAAATAGTCCCCCTTATATGGAATCTATCCGATTGAAGTTTTAAGCAAGCTGTTTATATCGTGAGCTCGGGAAATAAAAAATCTTTATTTTGAAATATAATTCAACTACTTGATAATAAAAACCAAGCTTTATTATTAACTTAAATACTTGATTTGATCCGACATACGAGATAGAGAGCAACTAAATTTTCTGCCCGAAGCTAAAAATTCTTTCTTGTTTTATTTACTTTTGGATTTTTTTGGCCCCAATAAAAATTTGTTAAAAATCAGCAATTATGGCGGCCTCGCAAGGTGAGCAGCACCGATGACCATTGATAGCATTGTTTATTTACCTTTAATAGCTTCAGTTTCTTTTCTGTATTCTCGATTTTGAACAAAAAGGTCAACTTTTGCTGACATGTTTTTAACTTGTATAACATGCAACGATACACATTTTTATAAAAATCGCTTTTTAAAAAAACATATACTGCACGGGCACACAAAATGATAAATTTTACTCGAAATAATCTATAAATGGAACCGGCAGAGACCGCCGCGGAGACAGTTTGCACATGGAGGTAGGGACTAAATGTTGCAATCTAATCTACTCATAACCCATAACCTTGCCTACTCACTGAGATATACAATACAACATACAATACATACTAAATATACTCGTACCTACATACAATGTGCATAAAACAGGAACAAGTTTGAGATCTAATGAATTAAGGGACCTACTCTGCTAAGGCAGGCAGGGGCTGGCTGGGAAGTGAAAAGCCTCCTGGCGTTTATTTTCAACTCACTAGCACTGTTTCAACGTGTTACTTGCATTTTCAGCTTTTTATGCACAAAAGCGCTATGCAGCAAATACAACAACAAATTCCTCGCGTTGGACTGGCGACGCACGGAGTTACCGGCACGCCTAGCTTGGGTGGCAATGCTACACCCGGAACGGACACCAAGCCACATCAGTGCCAACAGTGCATGAAGAGTTTTTCCAGCAATCACCAGCTCGTGCAGCACATTCGTGTCCACACTGGAGAAAAGCCGTACAAATGCTCTTACTGTGATCGTAGATTTAAGCAGCTGTCCCATGTCCAACAGCACACGCGCTTGCACACAGGTAAGTTTGACATATGTATGTATAGTATGTGTGTATGTACATATGTTCAAGTCGTAAAAAAAAGGACAAGTAAGGAATCATCGTAGTGAACACAAAATCGTAAAGCCGTTTTTTTGTTTTCATCTATTGCATTCCATCCCATCCAATCCCATACTTTTTTATATCACAATTTATTCTTTTTCTTATTATGTGCTTATTTTTTGTTGATCTTCTTCATTCTAATTGTAATTACAAAGCTGATGAAAAATGCTTAGTGCTCGTTCTTGATTAATTAAAACCGGCCGCCAGCCCCACTCCGAGCCCCAGACTCATAATTTCATCGGCACTCAGTCGTCTACTGCTACTGCCATGGGTCACTGTCACTGTCTCCCTCTCACCACTCAGCGTTGGCGCTGTCCCTATCTTATGGACTTGCAAGTTCGTACTCGTATTCGTATCCGTGTATCCTGCGTTCGGCAAATATTTTTTAAAGCTGGCAGCACCCATTTCCAAATGCAAATGCAAATGCCAATGACAAAGATAATTAAATAAACTTTGAGTGCTTTTCGAGGCAGCGCCCGCGCCCGTGCCTGAATCCAGCCCGTTTGTGACGGAAGACAGCTGCAAAGAATGAATAGGATAGGTCTATGAATATGAGTTCATGCCAGGTCGCGGCGATACAACAACTGAAATTATTCAACGTCATTAGCTGCATTCAATGTCATTTGATAGACCCAGACCCTGAGCCATTCAAGTTCCACCGTCTTCCGTTCTGTTCGACCAAATTATATCACACCTGATTGCAACTTTACAATTGCCTTCTGTTTTTTTTTTTTTGTATTTTTCGCATCTTTTTTATATTTTGTTTTGTGTAAAAATACTGTAAAAGAAATCAAATACGCTTTAATTATAAACCAGTTTGCGCCCTTCCACGATAACGGCGGCATAGCGACAGAGGCAGGGAACGGAACTCGGCTACGGCTACGGCAACGTCAACCTCTGCTATGATGTCGTATTTTACCTCTTTATAGACGACGGTTGCCGGTTGCCTGCCTGCGCCGCTGTGTTGGTCCTGGGGTAATTAGACAATAGTGTCTCAGGCGGTTTCTTTAAAGTTAAGCAGGCGCAAAGGAAAAACATCATTGCTAACAACCGCGACATATAATGGAAAGCGAGCCATAAAGTGGTGCAAGCTAGTCAACTTTACTGTTACTCCATCGCATATTTAAAGGCGTTTAAAGTGACAGGTCAAATGAAGTGGCGCTAAGGCAGCGACTACGTGCCGCAAGGTGTGAACACTGCTGCAATTTCCAGTCTCTTTGCCGGTGGCTTTACTCTGAGGAGTTTGGGTCTGCTATGTCTGACGGTGTCTCGACGGTGACCGCATCTTCATCTACACGACTGCACTTTGTAACTATTTATTTGTGTTTAATGCCACTGGAAAGCAAAGTGACTCTAAGTAGCTTAAACGTTTTAGACTTCAGGTTCTCCGTCGCCTGTCGTTGTCCCTGTCGCTGACCTCCACTTTTCATTTAATTGCGCGTTCAAATGAAATTAAATTTGCTTTAAATCTAAAATGCGTAATTTCCGGAGAACTGCAACTTTTTAAAAAGCTTCCCAGTTGCACTGACTCGGTTGGGAACCAAAGGGATTTTCCTCACGGTCTAGACGTAAGTTTCGAGAACTTGCTGTTTAATCTCGTTAAAATGAAGTCAATCAGTCAATTACGCGCCTTTAGCTATTTTGGCGACGTCTTCGGGCAGTATCACATTAAGGCCACACATTTTTTTTACCTAAAATATCCTTTTCCTTCTTAGACTGTGCGGGTGGGGGATGTTTGGGGTACACTTTTTGGATTATTTTTAGTAATTATAATTACTCGTGAGTATCTGGATTGTTACTTGAATAATATACATGCATAAATATGTACATATGTACATACATATATACTGGTATGGTTATGATGATTTCCTGACTACTTCTAGTTCTTCTTTAGTTTTACGGGCGTCATCTAGCTTCTGAACGTAAATGTTTGATAAATCTCGTTTCATCGACAGTATTTGCTTTAATAATTCGAGCATTACCAATATTATTATATAGCTAATGTGCCTTTGTAGAATGACGATTTGCATATTTAATGATTCACAAATATATTATTGCGTTTCGACGATTCTTATTCCGGATTGAGGAACAGAGACAGAGACTTTTTTTCTACTATTTAGGAAGGCTTTATTTTCGAAAAAATGTATGTGTTGCTCCAAACAAATCTGAGCACGGACTAACCATTTCCAGTCAATCCGGCATGACATCACAAAAGCCAGCCTACTTAATCTGCTCATTCGTTACCATATAACATTGCAGGAGAACGCCCTTACAAGTGCCACCTGCCCGACTGTGGGCGAGCCTTCATACAGCTCTCCAATCTGCAGCAACATCTCCGAAATCATGACGCCCAAGTGGAGCGAGCCAAGAATCGTCCATTTCACTGTAATATTTGTGGAAAGGGATTCGCCACTGAGTCCAGTCTGCGGACGCACACATCCAAAGTGAGTTCTGATCCAATAATGCAATAGTAAAGATTGACCCAATCACAACTACAACAATAACTACATTTTTCACTCTCATTTACGGTGTCGTCCGTGTGGCATTCTATTACTTTCTACCTTTCGACATCGGCATCGCTATCGATCTCATATGTCCTTTTAATATGCACGTGTCAAACATCATCACAACCAACAAATCAACAAATGCCGCATATTACTGACAGGAGCTACAGCTGCATCTTGGTGTCTTGCAGCAGCATGCGGCACTCATCGGTGGTCCCAATGCAACATCCTGCCCGGTATGCCATAAGCTCTTTCTTGGTACCGAAGCACTCATGGACCATATGAAACACGTCCATGAAGAAAAGAGCCCACCTTCAAGTGGAACAGGTGAGATCAGAGGAGAGTTTTAATAGTTGTAATATAAGTTCCTAAACACCCAATACCCGCAGCTGCAACCCACTTTAGTGAGATCATCAATTGTGCGGGTGGCAACGGAAATGACAATGTATCTGGGGGCGGGCCAATACCAATTGGCTCACAATGTACATCCGAATCCACCTGTGCAAGGATACCTACACATCCCCCAACTGGGAGTGGACCAAACCTCAGCGACAGCTACCTGGGAAAAAGAAGAACTGCCAATCATCCATGTCCAGTCTGTGGCAAGCATTACGTCAACGAAGGATCTCTGCGAAAGCATCTGGCTTGTCACGCCGAGACCTCCCAGCTCCCAAATAGCCTCCGCATGTGGCCCTGTAGTGTGTGCCAGGCTGTTTTCACACATGAAAATGGTATTAAAAAAAATGGTTTCGCGGCATTTTAATCATATTTCAACCTCCCACAGGCCTGCTTACCCATATGGAGTCGATGCGTATGGATCCTAAGCACCAGTTCGCGGCTCAATACGTCTTGGTATGCTACGAATAATAAACAAATTAAAGCCTGAAATTTAAACTACTGATAATTCTGATACTGATTTTTGGGCCACTGCTTCTATGCTTCTATAAAAAATTCCGATCGATTCCCTACACTATTAAGCAAATTTACCTCATCTTAGGAAACCCAGTTTTTAACAGTCGATATTAGGTCCACCCCAAACGTAAGAAACAAAGAAACGGTCTCCTGTATTTATTGACTCGTCCAAATAAAAACAAAATCGGACAACTAGGAGTGTCGATCAAAAAACAAGTCTTTGTGTGGAAATCAATTCTGTTTGCGAAGATACTCCAACCAAACTTTCGAAATTTAATTTAATTTAATTTAACAGCAAATTCAGTCTTGTGGTTCTTTAAAGCCAAGTACAATTAAGTACAATTTTGAAAGGTTTATTCGTAAATTAATAACATATTTCTATATATAACACTTATACTTTAGTCCCGAGCGGCAGCAGAGCAACGAGAGCGAGAGAGCATACTAGCGGCCACTATAGCTGCCGGCAGTGGTGCTGCCAGTGGAATCGGAGTTGGAGAGGCGAGAAATGTGCTACCTATGGGTGTGACCAACTCAGGGGGATCCAACTCAAAGTGCCCGTCACCATCAGCAAACTCGGAATGTTCGTCGAACGGGCGGCTTTCATCGTCATCAACTTCCGATCAAGATCAAGAACATGATCACGATCACGGCCTAAGTGAAACTGAGAACAGTAGCCACAACAATATTAGCAACACCAATAACAACACCCTGTGCGCGAATAACAACAGCTGCAATTCCAGCAAAATGAACGAGCTGCGTCTTCCAAATTCGAGTCAATACAATATGGATACCGGGCTGCACGTTGCCAATCGAATGTCACTAATGGCAGCAGCAGCCGCAGCTGTAGCAGCATCCCGACCACCACAGGATGGGATTGACTGTTCGAATGTTCCCAGTGCGGCCGTCCAAGCTGCTGTGGTTAATCTTGCCGCTGCTATGCGTATGAACAATCCCAACAATGGTTCTACTGCACTTGTAAGCCACTCCGCGCATCCCCATTCCATCCAGCACCAACAGCATGTAAGAGATGGTAACTGAAATAAGAGATTAACGAAGCTGGCATGCCATTGCAGTCATTGCATACGAGTAGTCGAAATGTGAAAATCAAGTATTAAAATCTTAAAATTGTGACTTTCGCTCATCTCTTTTTTCAGTAAGTGTTGCCTGATTTGTTTTATAAATACTAATCGTAATTGTTTTGGCCCAATTCACAGCTCGGCGAACATCCTTTACCCCACCATCAGCACCCTCATAATCTTCAGCAACAGCAGACACCACAGCACCATCAACAGCAGTTGTCACATTTGTTAGGGCACGGGCACTCTCACGGGAACAATTCCCGCCGTTCGCCGAACATAAATGTGCCGAGCTTGCAGATGCAAAACGAGTCATCAGCTAACGCGTCGTCCGTTGCGATGAACATGAACGTTAACATGATGCGTGGCTCCATAGAACCAGACTCAACACTAGGAGGAATGAATCCGATAGAGGCCCTCCATCATCAGCAACAACATCATCACCAGGCGTCAACTTATTCACAGCACGCAGTGGCTCCTAGTACTCAGCAAGCCCATTCACAACACAGTCACCACCATCCAGAAACCGCTCTTCGCATGCACCAGCAGGCCGAAGCAATTCTGCGCTCCCATGAGGTGGCATTTCGTTTGGCTGCCAGTACCGGCGTCAAAAGCGAATCAGAACAGCAACAGTCAATTGGTGGCAATGGCAATGTCAGTGCTAACAGTAACGAACAGCATCGATTCCCGACACATCAGCAAGAGCAACAAGTACCGTCGAGCTCATGAAGCTTGGCGGTGATTGAGCCCAGTAGGATAGGTACAGATAGAAATACAGAATCAAGTACAACGATTTCGTAATTGCGTCGATTGCAGCAGTTAAAATAGAATTAAATATATATATATATATATATATATATATATATATTTATGTGCAAACTTCTATGAATATACTATATACTATAAATGAGGTACATATTTCCATATGTAAATGCGATTACGTTTGTATGTACTTACAACAGTGCCCGTAAGTCAGTGTGCAATATTATATGGATCGTCACTTATCGGAAACAGATTAGAAATCATGTAAAAAATCCTTTGTGTTATGTTTACGTTTATAAGATTAAAGAAATAAATCACTTGTAGATGGATTTGCTTGGGTCCGCGGGAGGTCAGAATCGGATCTCCTATATATGTATGTAGGTATATATACATATAAAAGGAGCACTAAATTGCCATGTACCTCTTGCCTGAACAGGGTGATATCCGAAATTTGGAATTCCTGACATGCATCTAATAAATTCACTGGAAATTAACGTTCCCCCCAAAAGGTCCGGCAAAAGAAATAGCAGTTAAAATTAATTCTCAAAATTCGTTTTATATAATTAATATTTCATCAATTCTCATTTTGTCATTTTCTTACACAAAGTTAATCAGTGAACATCTTATATAGCAAGTGTTTAACATCCATACACATCAGGAGGTCATATATTCACACCGATGTTAATGCTCTACCCAAGCTCTCAAATATATACATATATTTGAAATGGGTTCGATTTTAGTGTGTATTTTTTGCGGCGGTGGCAGTTGTATTTACTGTAAATCTTAATGGTGACATGTCCCCTTTATTTCTACACCTATCTATAGACTATATCTAATTAGATGATCAATCTTGCAAGCCCCCGCTACGTCCACGCTTTTGCGGTGAACAGTACGAATTTGCCGGGCTACCTGTGCCACTGAAAGTCTTGTCCTGAGCACGCTTTAAATTTGGCGTGTTTGCGGGCGTCTGTAGTTTAGTTGTAGCAGGATCTACAAGAAGTTAAAAAATTTTAGGATACCATTTATTGGTGATGCAATAAAAATATATTTTTATATTTAAATCTTTAATTACCCTGCAGCCACCTAACTTGAGTCGCTGGTCCGTAACCCTTTTGGTTGCGCGCCGCAATCCGGAATATAATAGCTGGCTTATTCGAGCAATCCACATGTGCGTTAGAAAGCGAGGCGTTCGGCACTGTGCACTGATTGGCTGCACCTACGTATACTCGCACAAAAGCTAGTTGTGGAGACGTCAACGCCTTGTCCTTTGTCGTGGGCTTTACAGCCAGGTATACAGAGTACTCGACTATCTCTTTTGTTTTCTGTGCCGGAGGAGGCTCCCATGTTAAATGAGCGCCCTCCTTAACGTCCTTTGAAATCTTTATTGCCGATGGGGCACCTGGAAAGCCCGGCAAACAGGTTTTAAAACTGGATATCTGTAAGAAGGCATTTGGCAATAGATAAAATACAAATTTCAATCAATTAAATTAAAACAAACCTCTCCCCATTCACCACGGCCACATGAATTAATAGCAGCCAACCGAAAGCGATAAGCTGTTCCCGGATCTAAGCTGACACGTGGATATTGATTAAAGTCCGGTAAGTTATCGGCATCTAAACTTTCGAGAAGAGTATCGTTGAAATACTTTGAGTCAATATAGCTGGTAACTGTATGCGAGAGGTCTTTGAACACCCCCACTGTTTGCCATTTATCGTTATCGTTCTGTGAGGTGTTTTGCGCTGCAACGGCGATGGCGTTTTGCTGATCCTAAAAAGCAGTCGAAGTAAATTAATAAACAGATTGCTGTAAAGCACTTGTCAAGGTACAAACATTGGTTTGGGAATTGTCAGTAATTGCATTTGCTAGCTGTGTGCCACTACCCGATCGTTCAACCAAAATTTTGACCACTTGACTAGAGTTCATCGAAGCGGTAGCATCTGCCGTGGCTGCTTGCATCACAGCTGCTGAAGCTAATGCCTCCAAATGTGAGCCATCCACTAAAACGAGAAAATAACATGAATATCAAAGCAGTGCCATGTCACTGACGAATGGCTACAAACCATTTTGGTGTTGATGAGATATATGACCTTGACTGAAATCGCCATCTGTATCTCGAGCCCCGTCGGCCCCCGCCCCACGAGTAGTGGAGATGGCTGGATCCTTTCCGACTCCTGCGCTCCCCAAAACTGAAGTTTCCCCAGCTTTAATGTTTGTTAGTATAGTGGCGGCTTCAGTCTCAGACGTTGTCGGTCGGCTGCAGGTACTCTCCGATGATGAAGGTTTCGCCTTTAAAAAAAAAAAAAAATAATGAGAAATGCTGTCATATCCTCTTCAGAAAACACTAATTACCGTAAACTCAATGCTATTCATCTTATCTTCCCCGGATTCAGTGCTATTAACACTTTCGGTGCTTTCCGCCGGTGTTTCCCTGGCATCAGTAGTGCTGCTAACGCCGGTAATATCTTCAACAATGCCCACTTGTTGGTCTGTTATGCTTTGATTGTGATCGCTTGAGCCACTTGCAGATGACTGGCCTTCAGACCGGCCTGATGCTGACATTGACGTAGATGTGGCATTGTCGTCATTCACCCCCTCTTCAGATCTCCCTTGGGCTTCATGGGTAGGATGTTTTTGTAATAGATCGCCAGCACCATCCAACTGCTCTATTATATCGTCCATCGGATCAGTATCCGCTATATTCGTAATCGGAGCGCTCTTTTCGGCTACAGAATCCTTTTGTACCTGTACCTGTGCCGACTGCACAATCTTGGCTGGCACACTCTTGGTCGCCAATGTCAGTGCACGCGAACTGCCACCGGCATTAAAAATGTTAACGAAGCTTTTTCTGGCGCTAAGTGTCGTAGTAGAACCCACGTTGGTCGCACTTGTCCCTGGTAAAACCACTAGTTTATTTGAGTTACTTCCAGATCCAGCAACGCCTGCATTCGTGCTCATTACAGTGACCGGTTTTCCGCCTATATATAGTGCTGTCTTTTGCTGTAGAGGAGAGCTACTCACTTTCTGACCTGTCGCTAGTGATCCCGGTGCTGATGATATGTTGCGTATCATTTTGACGCCACTCTGGTTGGATATCACTGCTCGTTGCGCACCAATCGCCTGTAGTGTACTAGTGGTGGTCGACGTAGAGCCTACTATACTAACTATGCTTGCCCCCGTTCCTGTCCCAGCTGTGCTCATCACAGTGCTGGCAGGAACAGTTCGCAGACTGCCGCCAGTGGTAACAATAATGATCTGCTGGTTGCCCAGTTGCGTCCCCTGCTTGTTTGTTATAACGAAAGCGGGCTTTCCGCCCATTACGTTTGGCGTCACCTTGCCCATCTGCAGAATGTTTGAATTTTTCATGATTAATTTGCCGCCACTGGTCATTGCGTGGGGCGAAACAAGCTTCAGTACGTTTCCAGATACAATAGGTTTATTATGCTGGCTAGTAGACGTCGTCGATCCTGCCACTGATGAAGCTGTTGAACCAGCCGAAGACGCCGACTTTTGTGATCCTGAAGTAATCTTTAAGAAAAAATGTTCAATTACAAGTAATGTATTTTGGTTGGTAAGTTTCTTGCCTTACCTGAATCTGAGCGGAGCCAGCAGACAACTGCTGATTTGCAATCGAAAGACTCTGTGAAGTAGCGCCTTTGGCTATATTAAAGTTCATCTTTGGTAGTGTCTGAACCGTCATGCCGCCACTGCTCGTCTTAACAAACTGAAGCTGCACATTTGGGGCCAGGGTTAGCGGTTTTTGGATAAAGTACTGCTTTCCACCTATTGACGTTGTCGCCTGTCCCGTGTGCTGCGATTGAACAGCAGTGCTCGGTAGTGCTGTTTTTAATATATTAGTTGCAGCGCCTCCCCCAGTGCTATGTGTGGTTGCTATGCGCAGTGTCTGAGATGCAGTTACGTTGGGTACTAGGCGTAGGCTGCCACTTGAAGCCGAAGAACTAAGCACAACGTTCGATGGCATTGAACCAGACACGCGTACAGCCATAGTGTCACCGCCGCCTACTGTTGCTACTGCTGTTGTGGTGGAACCTGTTCTTGAAGGGGCTACACTGGGACGAAACTTTTGCAGCATGCCACTGCTACTACTGGTGGTGGCAGCATTACCTCCGACTGAAACCGCAGTACTGCTGATTATGGATATCTGCGGTTGCACACCGACCGTCGATGTTGGTACAGTAAAAGAAGTTCCGGCCACAGCTGTGACAGGTTTCACTTGAAATTGTGTGTTTGGTGATGCCGATTGTAGAACGTCAGTGAATCCCACGCTTGCCAGTGCGGATGCAGTCTTAGTCGCAGTTGATGGTGGTTGACCGACGGCTTCGGATGAGCTAGCAGCACCCACAGCATGTTGAAGCATTGAGCCCGGACTCTTTTCGAATTTCAATGAAGCAGCAGCAGCTTCGACTAACAATCGAGAGATGGGTTTCATTTGCAATTGTGTGTTTGGTGATGGAGATTGCGAAATGTCAGTGAAAGCCACGCTACCCGATACCGATGCAGGCTTAGTCGTAGTTGTTGCTGGCTGAACGGTTGCTTCGGATGCACTCGCAGCCCCCGCCGCATGATGCAGCACTGAAATTTGACTCTTTTCAAACTTTAATGAAGCAGCTGCAGCTTCGACTCCAACTGACGGTGTAATTTCGGAGCCATTTGCTGGGGGGGCTACTGTAGACGTTGTTCCATATTGCACCAGACTTTGAGCTGATTGCTTCGAGGTCGGATTTGCTGCTTGCTCTATTTTTTGAATCTGCAAAACATATGCGGCTGCAAAGGTGGTTGCAGTCCAAGAGAGCTCAAGAGCATGTGTGGATGCGCGCACAAGTGCCACTTTAACTGCGTAAAGAGGTTTCGTCACCTCCAAATACCATAGGTCTTTGCAGCAAACCTGTGAAGGAGAGTGTGTTGTATATCAATTAAAATTATATTCGAATGCAACGAGTTTCTTAAAACTTTAACAGGAGAATATCTCACCCTAACCTGGTTGTTCCATGCTTTGCGGTAGCCATCCCGTCCTGACCACACATACAGGCGACTTTGGATGCCAACTGCACAGTGGCCGGCACGAGCTCTTGGTACGTTTTCCTCCACAGTATCCAAGGTGACATTGTCCCAGGTCATAGTGTCTAAAAAAAATTAAAAATAATCAAAGTGCATTTAAAAAGACGGTCAGACAAAAATAGCTAGATTGAATCGGCTTGTCGTCTTAATCAGAATATATAGAATTATGTGTGTATATATTCTATATCTTTCTGATGGCTAAAAACATGTGATCAATTTTATAATGCCAGACATATTTTGACAATGGGATTCACTTATAATTCTTAATTAGACATATTGACTCTAAGGTTAAATTTGGCAAGGAAATAATAATAATAAGGAAAGACGTGGCTATAAAATACCGAGATGCACTTCAAAAATTAACATTAGAGAGACAGAAAACGTGTCTGAACATGTCGTCGGGCGCTGCGTAGCCACTGCAAATTGATTTGTTACTTTTGGCTATAATAATGATGCGATCTGATCGGCAATCTGATATGGTCATTCTCTATGATTGTGGGCGTAATTTTCTCGTTTTTTCAATATTGTGGATGCCACAGGTTTTCATCCTTTGTGGAGGCGGATGGTGGTGGGGCGAAATTTTGAAATACACATGTAACAGTGAGATCTGACAGGAGTGTGGATACCAAATTTGGTTGGTATTTTTTTTTTTTGGTATATTATAGTCTCTGAGATCTAAGCGCTCACTTTTTGCAATATGCGAAGACAACCATGAAACTTGTGTGTTAGAGAGAGACAGAGCGAGAAAGAATGAAATTATTTCCATCATTCTGGCTATAATAATAATTCAATCTGGCTCAGATTGCAGTCTAGAAGATATAGTTATTCTCTACGATTCTATTTGTTTTCTCGTATCTTTGAAATTGTGGATGCCACAGATTTTCGCCCTTTGTGTTTTCTTTTGAAATATACTTGTAACAGTGACATATCACAGAAGTCTAGCTCTATGTATACTTTATGTGGTCGGAAACGCTTCCTTCTGGACGTTACACACATCCATTTTCACCACAAATCTATTATACCCCTATACTCATTTTAAGTATTGGGTATAATAATAAAGTTAATTCGTTAAATTAGTTAACTGTTAATACATTTAGATTCTTTTATCGGGACAGAATTATATTCAAATAAGTCTTTATTGATTTTATAAAAAAAATTTGGGTAGTCATCGTCGCCCGAAATTTTATTTTTACAGATCTAAATGTATCTCACAGATACATACATATGACCATCACTTTTATTCTTGAAAAATAATATTTTTTGGTTGCTTTTGAAATTGTCATCCGTGTAATTTTATTAGATGTAGTACTACAGCCGCGACATTCGAGGCATAACATTTTCTGCGTGTAAATTCTGAACAAATCGCATCCCTCGCAAGGATCCCTTTTTATACCCGATACTCAAAATTAGTATTGGGGTATATTAGATTTGTGGTGAAAATGGATGTGTGTAACGTCCAGAAGGAATCATTTCCGACCCCATAAAGTATATATATTCTTGATCAGCATCAATAGCCGAGTCGATTGAGCCATGTCTGTCTGTCCGTCTGTCCGTCCCCTTCAGCGCCTAGTGCTGAAAGACTATAAGAGCTAGAGCAACGATGTTTTGGATCCAGAATTCTGTGATATGTCACTGCTACAAAAATATTTCAAAACTTCGCCCCGCCCACTTCCGCCCCCACAAAGGACGAAAATCTGTGGCATCCACATTTTTAAAGATACGATAAAACCAAAAACGCAGAATCGTAGAGAATGACCATATCTTTTAGACTGCAGAATCTGAATTGATAGTATTATTATTTTAGCCAGCATCAAGAAAACAATTTCATTTTTTCTCGCCCTGTCTCTCTCTAACACACAGGTAGCATAGGCGGCTTTGCTTAGAGTAAAACATTAGCGCCTAGATCTCAGAGACTATAAAAGCTAGAGCAACCAAATTTGGTATCCACACTCCTAAGATATCGGACCGAGACCGAGTTTGTTTCAAAATTTCGCCACACCCCCTTCCACCCCCGCAAAGGACGAAAATCTGGGGATATTCACAAATCTCAGAGACTATTCACGCTAGAGTAACCAAATTTGGTATCCGCACTCCTGTTAGATCTCACTATAAAACGTATATCTCAAAATTTCGCCATACCCCCTTCCGCCCACACAAAGGACGAAAATCTGTTGCATCCACAATATTGCAGATTCGAGAAAACTAAAAACGTAGAATCATAGATAACGACCATATCTATCAGATTGCTGATCTGGATCAGATCGGATCATTTTTATAGCCAAAAGAAACAAATCAATTTGCACTGGCTACGCAGCGCCCGACGTCACGCTCAGACTGATTTTCTGTCTCTCTCGCACGCACTCTTCGTCGTGTCGCTTAATATTAGCGGCGTCTGCCGGAGGAGAGCCATACTGACTTAGTATCGGGTATAACTGTAGAGTTGCGGTGTCCGCAGCAACTCACAACGTTCCCCCTCGTTTTCTATCAGATGGTAATTCTGCTTTCGGATCGGAGAAGCCCACAACCAGAATATGATTATATATATTTATTTTTTTGATACCAGTCTTTAGAAATAATTAAATGCATTAATTTTTTTTATTTATATTTAAAAAATTAATTTAATAATAAAACAAAATTTTGTTTAAAAGTTCAATACAAATGAGTTGCTGCTGCGACCGTAACTCTACATTTATACCTGATACATACTCAGTATGGCTATATTGAGCGACAATGAGTGTGTTCGGGAGATACAGAAAACGTGTCTGAACGTGTCGTCGGGCACTGCGTTGCAACTGCAAATTGATTTGTTACTTTTGGCTATAAAAATGATCCGATCGGCAATCTGGTAAATATGGTCATTCTCTATGATTGTGGGTTTAATTTCGTATTTATTTCGTATTCTCGTATTTTCAATATTGTGGATGCCACAGATTTTGAAATACACTTGAAACAGTGAGATCTAACAGAGGTGTGGATACTAAATTTGGTTGCTCTAGCTCCATAGCGGAAGGGGGTGGGACGAAATTATAGTCTCTGAGATCTAGGCGCCCATAGGGACGGACAGACGGACGGACGAACGGACGGACAGACGGACAGACAAACACACAGACATGGCTCAATCGACTCGGCTATTGATGCTGATCAAGAATATATATACTTTATGGGGTCGGAAACGCTTCCTTCTGGACGTTACATACATCCACACCCCTATAATAATTTTAAGTATCGGGTATACAAATTTCGATTTTATTTTATTTAAGCTATATTTGAATTAGCTAAGCTAAGTCTTAATTATTAAAGTTTTACTCTATTTATGGGCCTTAAAAGCTACCACAAAATGCAGGAGGTATGTATAGTAATGATTAGACCTCGGATTTTGCATATTTTTAAAGGATTAAGATAGAAAAATTCTGATGACTCGTACTCGCAGCACCTCCGATCCTCCGATCCCCCAGCCAAGTGCTTTTCAAATATAGTCAAAGGAAATCAATTGAACAAAAATTAATAATGAGCCCACGACTATGCTGATGAATAAAATATGCAAAATCCGAGGTCTAGTAATGATATAAAAACACTATATGTACGTACCCAAATCCAGGACCGCAAGCGTATTTGTACATTTCCATTCGCGCTCCGTTGTCGACTTGGAGTCGTTGATTACCAAGGGAACCCATCCGCCAAAAACATACATCTTATTGGCAATCATCGTTGAGCTATGTAATGAGCGCGGCAGTGGTGCCTGTCCGAGTGTGCGTGGTTTGGACCAAGTCATGGAATCTGACAATAAATAGTTCAAACGATACCATGAGAATCGTTAAGCAAGTGCTAATAAAATGAAGTGATATTACCAGTATCAAGCAACCACAAATCCCCCAAACGACAGCCACTCATTCCTCCATATATTAATAGATTCAATTTTCCAGTGTTTTTGCTGGAAAACGAAATTCCAGTGTGGGACTCGCGGGGTGGCGGACTATCGCCATATGTTTTTGGTATTATCCATTTACCATTGTGACTGTGAACTCCCCGTGTATCCAGTATGTACAAATCATTCAAATATCTAGTCAAATACAAAACAATTTGTTACAGAGTCCACATTCTAGCGAAACTACTATTTACTTTGGAATATTGTTTTTTGGGTCGTCTGATTCATTTGCAAGTCCACCAAAGAGAAAAATCTTTTCGCCAACCATTGTGAAACTGTGTCCCAAGCGTGGACACGGTGATAAGCCGTTGTCTGGAGATTCAGGGTACATTTTCCTCCACTCCCACTTGGTCGCTTGGAGCTCATAAAGCTCGTTTGAGTACTTTCCGTATTCAATCATTCCACCGAAAACAAACATCCGAGTTCCCTCAACAACAAACCCATAAGCAGCGCATCCATTAGGGACATCGCCTTTCAGCACTGGCACGTACCATTGATTCGTAACTGCAATGTGATGAAAGACACGACACGAAGTTTTAGTGAGAAAATGCATGTTTTTAAATTATGCTGAACTAAAAATACCTGTGTTATAAACATGTAATTCGTCAACGATTCCTTCATTTCCACCGCCAAAAACAACCATAAGCTCCTTTATGTTTATTGCACGATGGCCGTGTCTCGGACGCGGCTGTGGTCCTGTCGGATTAAGAACACGTTTCCACCGAAAGCCAGACAAGTTGGTGGCTACATTACTTTCTAAACTTTCCTCTGTATCCATATCATTTGCTGTTTGCCGCTCCGAATGCAATATTTGCTCCTTGTTTAGATCTTCGGATTCAGCTGATGTAGCTGTTGCTACTCCTCCTTTGGTTGGCCCCGCGAAATCTGAACTCTCCATGTCGTGGTATTTTCTTACCCTTTACACTATATAATTCTAATAATTGTAGAATGAAACGAAACAAGGATTCATTCTTTATCATAAAAAACCGCGAATTCACCTAAAAATAATCAAAATTTATTCAACATATGCATTATGTTTAATGTTATCAAAAATTTAGGAAGTCTGGCAGCATTTGGTATTTGTTTCAACATTGACTATTGCAGAAAAACTCGTACATATACATGGATGCACAATGAAAAAAAAACATATTTTCTTACAAATTTAATTGCTTCTGTAGGTATTTTCTCAGACTAAAAATACCAAAATATTTTTGATATACACTGAAAGCATCTATATGCGCACCAATTTATTTTCGCCTGGCAATGCTGCGAATGGACGCTTCGCACTTGGCCTGTTCATATTTTATGTGCGAACTGTTTACATATCACTTGCTTAATTTTCATATCTTTCAGTCTCTTACCAAACTCCTGATTCCAAGGATGCTAATAATGCATAACTTGTTTTAATACAACTCACTAAATAAACTCACTATTTAAAATGTGCAAAAAAGCCGAACGAACATACACCATACAACCATACAACGAAGCACTAGTGATGTCAATATATTTGATACATCGATATTTTAAAAAATATCGAAATATCCTTAAAACTATACCGAAATATACGTCACTATTTTCAAAATATACTGACGAATTATTTGTATTCAAGTTCCATCCTATTCCTCGTTTTTGATATTCGGTTGAATATTACTAGCTAGCTAGCAACCTCAACCCTGAACTTTATCCGATTGATGAATCAATTTCCTACAAGCAGGGCGAATTTGAAGTACGCCTTTTTACTCTGCGATGTACAAAATGCCGAGCAGTGTAGACGTTGTACAACCATTGTAACCTGCTACATTTTGCATTAGTTCGATAAACAACATATTCTCAGCTGATTTTAGTCCGATAGAGAGATTTAAAAATTCTTAAAAAGGACGATGTTACACAGAACAATATTCCCAATAATTTATAAATGGCAGCCAGTGGTGCAGCAATAATGTAAATCCGGTTCGTTTTTTTCACTGTACCCACTGTATCACCATATACGCACATGACATGTGCTCCCTCAAGGCAGCAGAATATCCAGCCTTTCTATCGCGTCATTTTTTCTTTCGCCTTATCTATCGCCCTGTCAATCTGTCGCGCTCTTGCTTGCATTAGGGCACGGGAAATTTAGCCGCCTGCCTTTGATTTTAGTCTTGATCTAGAAATCACTTCTTCAATCTTCAATCCGACAAAGTCTTGAACCGACCCCACCGCGTCTTCAATCGACACCGTCTTAAATCGGTCAAGTCCCGTATCGCTAAGTCTCCCTATTATAATCGCATTGATCTGGAATTCGTTATAATAAATAAATAAAAAATGCTAGTTGTTTTGATAAAAATATATATAGGTTAGGCCCTTAGTTATCCGGATAGGGCTATGAACCGTCGCGGAAGTGCCTATGGGATCTATAAGTCCTTGAGACTCGCGGTGTTTTTGGTATTGGCCAGTAGTTTCTGTGGCCATCTTGGAGCCATCTTCCAGTTATGCTAGCTGCGGGGCGCCCAGCTATTTTCTCCTTGCCCCTAAGAGGGCCGGACAGGTTCATCACATTTCCTTTGTAGCGTGCGCCGCAGCTAAACAGTGACCTGGGAGTATTCGCACTAACAGTATCACCGCTTGACTGTCGATGAATAGGTTGACCGCATCGTGTGGTCGTTCTTCAAGCAGAGCGACCTCTGTTGCTTTCCTGATGGCACAAACATGCGCCTGGGCTCCGCTCCAATTCCTCCGTCCATCTTGGAGCCGTCCGTATATATGTTGAGGTGCTCAGTTTGGTCCCTTCCCTTTTTCTAGTCTTCGGGCACATTGAACTATGACCGTACTAGTAGGCGGGAAAGAAAAGACTTCAGGGTGTGGAACAACTACAATTTCTACAATTCCGATATTTTCGTATATATTTCAAGTGTAAACTAGCTTAATGTAAAACTTATCATTCGCGAGAAGAGTGGTTCAACAGGCTGCGCGTGAAGTAGCTTCCACTGCACCGCCGTCATCTTCCCACTCTCGACGCTGCGATCAATTAAGGCCACAATGAAGTGTCTCTAGGCTTACTCGCCTTCGCCTTCGGCTGGAGGGTGGCCACCTTGGGCCCGCGTTGTCACTTGCTCGCTGGAGTGTTTTTGACAGCACTCTCTCTGCTCTCTGGATTGCTCCTCCCTGTGCCCGCCGGTGGTAGCAGTCACGCTTTCCACCGACGTTTGGGTTGACATCCCAACCCGCGTTTCCTCGTCCGTCCAAACAGAGCTGCTGAAATTTCTAAGGGATTCCAATACATATGTATGGCGCCAGTTTGAGTCGGGGTTTCACGTCTGTTAAAAAATCACACTGTTCCCCCGGGATATCCTCAGTGTGAGCCTATTAACCATACAATATACTGGAAATCTGAGTTTTATACTAAGTCAGCGCAAAAATGCAGAAAAATCAAAGTATTCCAACAAAAGTTTGTGATTATTTTTAAAGAAACAAAATATGTTAAAAGTATTAAAGAAAGCGGTCCGGATGCGACAAAACCATAAGCCTTATAATTCTCAACGTTCTTCCGCAAAATCAGGTATGAATACGGTTTTAATCCAAGTTTCTCTCCGCCTTATTCGGAGGACCCAAGAGACTTAAGACTTTAAGAGACTTAAATTAAAAAACAAACCACCACCGGCTTAAAAATAAGAAGTACCACACTGTAAATCATCAAAAACCGGGCGTCAGCTTAATGGGCACATTAGCTAGATATATATATTAGTTTCATGATATGGAAATAATAATAATATTATAGGTACTGATCTGGTAAGAATCTTTATTTACATGTGCAAGATAAACTATCTGGAAGTGTATGAAAATGTTTGTGCTACGCTACTTTATCGCAACGCCGCAGTGCAGTGCAGAATAACTGAGATAAGATAATGATAACCTAGACAAGCAGCTGTCAGAGTCTGTTCAAAGCTTCTACAAATAGCGGTGTCGATTAACAAAGTACTGCAGTCTTTCATATTCGCATGGAAGAGCATATTCGTCTTCGGTTTTTTTTCAGACTGGACTATATATTAAATATTAATTTATTAATTGGTGCTCTATTCTCCTTTTAAAAAATGTACGTAAATATTTTGGCGCGCAGCTCTACCGATTGGTTCTCTTCTTCGGTTTGATTCGGTATCTGTTCCCTACGTTTTATTTATTTTAGACACAACCCAATAAAACGAAGCCTTTAATATCAAATCTTGTAGAAAATTGATAAATTTATCGAATGAAATAATGTGTTCAGTGCTGTGTGTCCTATCTAGCTAGTGATATCAAACAGAATATTAAAATTCCGATCAGAGAAGGAGCCGCATAACCCATAGTCGTCCAGTGGGTATTTATATACGGGCACGAATATTATTAAGCTTGAAGAATTTTATCACAGTTCAGGTGAACAATATCGTGGTTTAAAAACAGTAATATTTTCCGCGTTTTAACTAAAGATTTTCGCTTGTTTAAATAGAGGCGGGTTAATTGGGCTATGTTTTCTTCATAAGTATTTTTTGGTATATTTTGAAAATGAGAAGGTATATTTCAGTATGTTTCTGAGGGTAACGTAAGACGCTGCCAGTTTAAACACCATGTCTAGCTCACACACCTTTAAAATTATTTTTTTTCAAAAATGTTTAAAAAAAAGTCTTGTCAAAAGTGGATAACGGAGGTTTTCCATACTGCACTTCCATTGGGCTTATATAAAAAAAACCGGTCAAACATTTTTCAAACGAACACTTCTCTCCCTCAGATGTCGCTTTTGGTAATTAGATAAAAATGTAGTTAATATGTAGCAACGGTGTTGTTAGTATGTAGGGAACATGTAATAACAACTAATTTGGTGGAAATGGTTGTTGACCCTTTGTGTTTAAACCATATGTTATAAACAATCCAATAAAGATGAGAACTTAAAATTAACCAGTCTTGTAGGAAATTGATTTATCGATCGGATAAAATTATGAGTTCTGGGCCGATAGTCGAATATCAGAAGCGATGAATATAATAGAACTTGAATAAAAATAATTCGTCAGTATATTTACGGTATATTTTGAAATTATTGACGCATGTTTTATCGTAAAATCGGGCATGCTCAATCTAAAAAAAGAAATTAGCAACTCGACTCCAGGGTGACCGTTTACGGTATTTTTAATATGTTTCGGTATTTTTTAGGTCAAAATTGAACCGACGGTATATTTACGGTATATCGGTAAATAATGGAATATTTTGTCAATTTCATCAATCTATTAAATTTAATTTGAAACGTTATATAGAAATCCAATACAAGCGAATATTTAGAATAAGCCAATCAAGTAGAAAATTGATTCATCAATCGTATAAAATTATGTGGGCATTGCTAAATGTTCCATATATAGCTGGAAATATTCGACGGAAGATCACTTACGAGTATTTATTGGTGAATAACCGGTTGACAACAATGATTACCGGCAACACTAATTTTCATACCCTAAGGAAATTGAATAGAATATAGAATTGAGAAAATGTTTGTCATCCCAGTCTCCGTAGGTATCAGGATCGAGATAAATATATACAAGATACTAATAATATATGTATGTACATAAATATGTCTAAAACATATCAATTTGAGAACAGGTCTTTATAAATTACGTTTTATCTTCATATGAAATTAACGAAATAGGGTGTACAAGCGACTGTTTTTTTATTGAACTATGTACATTGTTTAAACCTTGTTTTAGCCTAAATACAATAAAAGCAAGGACTAACAATTAGCCAATTAAGTAGAAAATTGATTCATCAATGGCCTAAAATTACGTGGGCAAAACTAAAGGTTTTAGTTAGACAGAATTATTAAACGGAATCTCTACATTAAGCAATTGGAACGACTATCCTCTTTCGTTTTTTTTTTTTTGTTTGACCAATTTCGTTTAAACCTTTTTTTACGCAAAATGCAATAAAAGCAAGTGTTTAAAATAAATCAGACAATTAGAATATAGATTCACTAATCGGATAAACTT